TCTGAATCTCTGGTAAATCCAGGATATGGTTGGGGTTTTTCTGATATTAAAAGATATTCTTTTTTTAATCGTCTCAGCTCCCACCTTAGCATTCTATTGCTGAACTATTGTTCCACACATTCTGATAGTGTACTCATTGTAATTAAGTATGTGTGCTCTTCAGGTGCAGAATAAAGTATTTATGACTTCCATATTTAGATACAGGACAATTTTTCAATTATATGCCCCATAATTGCTTAATCAGAAAGGTTATATAAAATAGTTTTAGCAGTAGGGGGGTTTTTGATTAACTGATAATGGAGCAAGCCCATATCACAGTTCATTTTGATCATTTTGCCTTGATTACCAAACCTTACCTTGAACTTTTTGAAGAAACATCTCCAAGTTTTTAAGTCTGATACTTATCTGCAGTGCAGAAGTGCTGTAAGAAAGAGCAGTATTAGTCCTTCCATTCTCTTTTGCTGATTTGTTTCATCCCTAAGAAGCTCATTCCACTTAACAGAAAATTGACTAGTACTTTACTGTGTGGAACACTGCCAGCAAAGAAAGTATTTAGGCTCTTGAAGGAAATTTGGTTTTGTTTATGCATCCATAGACAGTATATATTTTGACATACTGTAATCCAATGGCAGCGTTAGATGGGATTGGGTCAGCCTTTAATCATGATTGATGTTTTATTTATATTGTATTTTCAAACAAGAAGATGTTTAAGAGTTTAGCTGTGCACTTTGAAGCATACACAAAAACACTTTCTTGTAAAATAATCTATTCCTTTTCCTATTCCTAACACAAAAAGTAATGTAAAGTGCTATTGTATAGCATTTTTTTTAAGTGAAATAGACTACATCTTTTAGTGAAAATTGGAACAATTAAAAATAATCATCTGCTCTAGGACAGAGAAGTAGACATGACTACATCCCTTGAAGTACTTACTATAAAAATAACAACTAATCTTGTTTAAGGAAAGTTTACTATAATTTGTCTTGATTTCTTTACAGTTCACTCTGCTTTGTATGTGTAAGAAAAGATTAACTACAATTTTCTGTTCAATAAAATTGTAGTTCATTTGAATAAAATTACTGGTAAAGGGAGTTGGTAAATAGTTTAGAAAATAATTTCTATCTATATATATCTTTGTATTGGAAAATTTTGATAGAGATTTAGTTAAGTAAGGAAAGGACAACAGGCTCACAATGCTACATTTTCTACTTAAACTCTTACAGGGTGCATTACAATGACAAGAAATACATCTGCCATCAAAAACTCACATGATGAATGCACTTAATCTTCTGTCATCTTATTCTACAAGATTTTGATTTATAGGTATACACTTTCTAGTAAACCACTGTTGGTGCTAAGTTTTGATTTTTCTATACACAAAATACATTAATTTGAAACCTTAGATTCTGAACAGTGCCAAGATACTGTCTGTCTGTTTTATCTCTGTGCAAGTCAGAAGCTGGTATAAAATAGGCTTTCCAAAAAAGAAAAGATCATAGAATCATGTATTGCCTTGGGTTGGAAGGTAAAGTTTCAAGCCCCATGCTATGGACCGGCTTGTCACCCAATAGATCAGGCTGCCCAGCATCTCATCCAACTGGCCTTGAACATCTCCAGGGATAGGATGTCCACAGCTTATGTGGGTAGCCTGTGCCAGTGCCTCACTACCCTCTGAGTGAAAAATGTCCTCCTAATATCTAATATAAATCTCTCCTATTTTAGTTTAAAGCCATTCCTTTTTGCTGTCAGACCACGTAAAAAGTCAGCCCCCGTTCTGATTAGAAGCTCCTTTTAAGTACTGGAATGCCACATGAAAGTCTCCCAAGAGCCTTCTCTTTTCCAACACGAGCCCAGCTCCCTCAACTTTTCTTCATAGGAGAGGCACTCCAGCCTTCGTGTTCATGGCTTTATCTGGTTTTGCACTATCTGTTCCATGTCTTTCTTGTGCTGGAGGCCCCAGGCCTGGACATGGTACACCAGATGGGGCCTTACAAGTGCTGAGTTGAGAATGACCATCACCTCCCTCATTCTTCTGGCCTTCTCTCATTTGTTGCAGCCAAAGATACTGCTGGCCTTCCAGGCTGCAAGTGCACACTGCTGGCTCATGTCAAGCTTTTCATTCACCGGAACTTTTAAGTCCTTCCTACCGGGGCTGCTTTCAGTGAGTTCATCTCCCAGTCTGCGCACGTATCTGGGATTGCATCACCTTGCACTTGGTATTTTGAATCTCATTAGGTTCATGTGGTTTCACTTTTCCCAGATCCCTTTGGATGGGATCACTTCCTTCTGCTATAATCAGCCACATCACTCAGCTTAGTGTCATCAGTAAACTTGCTGGGGATGCACTTGACCAGTTATCTAGGTAATTGATAAAGATGTTGAGGAGCACTGGCCCCAAGATGGCCCCCTGGAGGACACACTCATAACTGGCCTCCACCTGGACATGTGGCCTCCACCTCAACCATGTGGCTATGGCCATCCAACCAATTCCTTATCTACTGAATAGGTCACCCTTCAAATGCGTGTCTCTAATTTACAGGTAATAAAAGATACTTTATTTGTGATTTTTTTTTTTTATTTTTATTTTTTAAAAACAAAGGCACGAGGAAATGCTCTCAAAGTAGCTGGTATAAAATAGTATCATAATAATGACTGTTTTTCTGAAATCTTAAATCAGTTTTTTTTTTCTATTGTCTCATTATTCATCGTTCTTATTAGAAAGTAACAGGAAAATAGCAGCATCCAGATTTTTCAAACTGACCCAACAGTACTTTGTTCACCCTTGTTTAGGTATGAAAGGACTACACATCTTTTTAATGTACATTCATGTAAATAGAGCACTGCTAAAAAATCTGCAGGTGTAGGAGGAACATACATAAGATCAATTTCATTCGCAGTCTCTTGTGTGCAAGCTGAGTTGGACCTGGGCTCTTCTGTTGGATGGAGCTATTTTTAGAATTTTGTTTACCCTAGAGCAGAATGGACAGAATCCATCCTCAGAAGCTGTTTCCAAACATACACAGATTTTCTGTGCAAAAACTTTTGAAATATTGGGTCTTTTTTTTTTTTTTAATTGAAATGTGTCCTTTTCTCTCTTATTATTGCCCTTTCTAATTATTCATATGTCTCCCACCTCAGGTTGCACATCCTTGCACGTCTCTGGAAATGACCAGGAATTAAGTCTCATACTAATGGGTCTCTGGGATTATCCACTACTGCCGTGCCCCTTTCCCCTCTGTGTAAAAGCCATTAGGGAGATTTTAAGAGTGAGTTTTATATGAGTCTAATATTTATGAGTCTTATATTTATACAATGAGTCTTATATTTATACAATCCAAAATACATATAAAAGGTAGAATTAGTACTTTTGCTGGCATATTTGTTGACCATCCATGCCTGCATTTCACTTTTTGCTTCTGCCTTAAGCAAACTCAGTTATTTTCAAGTTTCAAACATACTGCACTGTGTATTGGAGAACAGTTTATAAAGGTGAGTGCACTGTGTTCATATCTGATTCCTGATGAATAATGAATTCTGAAATAATTAATTCTGATCCGGTCTTTTAATATATATATATATATTTTAATTTAGCTTTTCATTTTGTTACAGAATAATTGTCTATGATAGTTAAACAAAACCACAAGTACTTATTTGAAATGTTACTGCTGGTGTCCTGATTGATCTGTATGCAATAAATCTGGTAAAACAGAAATGCAGCCTTTATGTATTTGAGGAGAAAAAAATTGTAATCTCTACCTGCTGTCATGATAAACTAAGTAATTTTCTAGTATTTATGAGGGCTGCTCTGAAAGTAATGCCTTCTATTTTACTATGTTGGCCCACATTGTCAAAGATAGATGTTAGTGGCATGGCAGAAGAGGTTCAACCTTCCCGCTTGTAATCCATTACATTTGTTGCTGTGTGATAGATGGCAGCAGAGGGGCAGTCTGACAGAATGGCATCTGCCATGAAAGTGTGGATGAAACAAAGGTGTGGAATTCATTTCCTCCCTGCGGAGCAAATTGCATCTGATGCTATTCATCAACACTTACTGAATGTTTGGATGACTGAACAGTGATGTGAGTGCAGTACAGGTGGTGTGTTTAAGCAGCAGCACTATCATAGCAGCTGTGAAACATTGGATCACTTCTACTGGGACAGACTTTTATAAGCATGGCATGCAGGCTCTTGTTCTTTGCTGGTGAAAATGTGTAGCTATTGTAGGTGACTGTGTTTGTAACTAAAAATTTGCTCTATCAAGTAGAGTTATTGTACTCTTTCTAGCTGTTGTAGTTTCCATGGAAATAAATAGGAGGCATTACTTTTGGAGCAACCTACACCTATGCTGTTTTTTTTCTGTTGAATCTATTAATGAATTCCAAAATGCAGATTCCATCACCTTTTTAAAATGTGTTTACAAGTTAATTATCTGGTACTACACCTCTCCTACTGCAAAATGTCTAATGATTGTTAGATCTTGAATTTTTATTTTCTTCAAATATCTCATCTATCATCATGAGCAATTTACCTTTAGCTAAGGTAAGGCAAGCTACATTTTTGTCCTGGCTCTTCTCCACAGTGGGAGTGCCCTGCTTGCATACTTAGTGCTCTGTGGGATAGAGATTTTAGCCATCAATCAGAAATCATATAGTAGGTGTAAGACATGAAATAAAATCGATACATTTTTCTGAAGCATGTCACTAGTTAAGTGACAAAAAATATTCTGATAGTCACTGAAAAAGAAAAGTCAAAGGTACATTTGAACCTGTCAGTTCAACACATTCTTGTTATCCCTTTAGGGGATATCATACAGCTTGACACCAACATTTAAGCTTTGAAAATTATGAGCTCATCTATTTCAAATGGGATGTCACATGTTCCCAAGCCTTTGCCATTACTTATAATGGAAGACAGGATGATCAGTTTTGTTCACATATTGATAGTGAATAAGATCTTTTTTCTTTTCTTTTCTTTTCTTTTTTTTTTTTTTTTTGTTTCAGAATGAAGAACAAATTTTGGTATTTTGAATTTGGCACTTCGGAAACTTTCTCAGCCACCTGTAAGAAGCTGCATGAATCTGTAGAAATAGAAGTAAGAAGCTAATTGTTGCCTTTATCCTTTAAATGTCACTAGTTTGGCTGAAATGCAGGGAGCAAGGGTGCAGAGTGCCTGAATCCAACAAGGCAATTCAGTGCACATCTTTTCGACCCTATATTCCAAAATATTATTTTTATCATGTCTATTTGTGGTGTAGCCCTGAACACTGGAAACTGAACACCATCAAAGTTCAGTTTGATGATTAGTGAAGTCTTAATACAGTAGACAAGGTCAAGAGGTGAAATATAACATTAAAAATCAATAGGGAGTGTGGCTAGGTCAGATGGAAAAAAATGAAAGACTGTTGGAGGGAGTGAAAGCTGCTGCAGGATTAAAATAAAAAAAAAAAAAAAAACTTATTATTTCTAGATCCCAAGTTTTTATAACCTTTAAAACTCAGTTCCCTAAAATTGTACTTACTTTCCTGAATAAAGGTTAAAGAATATATATATTTTTTGAATCGCTCCCCTTCATTAAATAGCTTTTCCCTCTGCACCAGAGGTCATTGTTCCATTATACATTGAACATTAACTGCAAAGACACAGGATAGTTACAGACAAAATAGGAATTTAAAATAATGTGCCACTACTACTTTGGATGATAGAATAATTGGCTACATTACATAAGCTGTTTGGAGGGGCTGATATTTATAAGTACATGAAAATTGTGAAATGAGTGCATGTGGAAATCTAATAAGTTAAATAATGGAATTTTGTCTTAAGAAGTTTGAGGTGCTTTTACTGACAGTAATGAGAAACTGCTGATGTCATTGGAGTATTTGTATTGTAGTATGAAGCGCTTGGAGAGGTATGGTAAGAGTATGAGTGTCAACTCCAAGCCTACTGAAGGATACAGTCTGAAATGATGTGAAGGGACCATGGATCACATGGTAAAACAATAGCAAATACTGAGACTGAAACTGCAAGGCCTGTGGTGCCATATTTTTATGTTAGGCTGTTAATTTCTTTAGAAAAGGGAAATGTCCCATACATCCTTCCTTAAAATTAAAAAATAAAAATATATTGATTTCCAAGACAGTGCTTCACACATTTGAGTTTAAATACAGGTAGCCTATAAATATTTATAAATATTTGATTAATTATTGGAATTAGTGCTTACCTTGTTTGTTTTATTTTGAATATATTGCATGTTAAACATGTCCTTTAGGTAAATAATAATTTTGTTGGCTTTCCCAAGAAAATATTTTCTATTCAGCAAAAATCTTATATAGACTGATGCAATCTTCTTAAAACATCTTATTGTAACCATTAAAATGTAAACATCCCAAAGTAAACAGATACTCATACAAGTTTGTGATTATTACTAATTCATATTAGTAACGCTATTATTACCAAAATTAATACCATTGTCAGTGTATAAAATGTTTGTTAATATCCACCTTCTCGATTGTGGCCATTCTCATTTTTCAAAGAAAATAATAGAAACATAGAATTACTCAGGTTGGAAAAGACCTTGAAGATCATCAAGTCCAACCATGACCTAAGCATACTACCCTAACAACCCTCCACTAAATCATGTCCCTGAGCACCACATCCAAGTGGTTTTTAAACACATCCAGGTATGGTGATCAACCATCTTCCTGTGGAGCCTATTCCAGTGCTTAGCCACCCTTTCTGTAAAGAATTTTTGCCTGATATCCAACTTAAACTTACCATGGCACAACTTGAGGCCATTTCCTATTGTCCTGTCACCAGTGAGAAGAGACCAACCCCACTCTGCCTGCAATCAGATACTGGAAGAGAGCAATAAGGTCTCCCCTCAGCCTCTTCTTCTCCAGCCTAAACAGCCTATGTTTTCCTACTATTAGAAGTAAAAATCATATAGTATCTAAAATGTTTGCACAAGAATTGGTAGGAGGTAGTTATTTACAGTTATTGCTATGAGTAAATTACATTTAAATGAACGGTATGCTTGTGTCTCATTTGTATTTTATATAATTTTGAGAGTTGTGCTGTTCTCATCTGTTTATTTTGGTGTGTCGTTTTTTTCCCCTTCTTCCCCACACCTGGGGATGTTACTACAAATGAGACCTTGGTGTATAATAACTCATTTCGATCTGAATAAAATCCACAAAGAAGGCATTTGCTCTACAGCCAAATTCTGAATGAACAAAACCCATGAAGATTAAGATCTGTATCTCTAAGCTGGGAGAAAACGATCAAACATTCTGTGAGCGAATATTTGTTCTACCATGTATTTGATTTCTAACACAATTGAGCTTGGCTTTCCTGCTGTACAGTCATTTATTTTAAGTTCTGCATTTTTCTTCTGTTTGAGATAGCGAACACAATTTTAAACTCAGTATAGTAAATCCTGTGCTTAGGTTACATGGTAACCTAGGAAAGTATATGCTAAAGCATTACCCAAAATAAGAGGTGCTTTTAGTTCTAAATTGTGATCCAAAATTTCAGAAGAGAAACATAGATTCCAAAGGGAAAAAAAAAAAGAAAAAAAAAAATTAATGACGTACACTATATTTCCACATTAAAAAAGAAAAAAAAAAGTAAGAAAAGTGGTACGTAAAGGATATTTAATGAGATTAGTCATACATCTAGCATAAGTGGGGTACGTACCTGCTGTAAAACCATTGTGCGAGCAGAGAAGCCTGCTTATACCACCTGGTATTAATAGGAGGGAGAAGGGTAAAATGGTTATGTAGCCTTGCATAATATTGCACTTGGTTACAATGAATATTTTCTCAACATAGGAATGATCTGGACATTTTTGGTGTAATGAATAAAGTATAAAAGATAATGCCAGAGTAGGGACTGAAGCCAGGAAAGAAAATCAAAAGAAAAAAAGAATAGGAACACTAATGTTTATTTCTAATCTGAGTAGGCATGCTCTGTATTTTATTTTTAACAGTGTCATTGCATTATTTGAAATAATATTGTTGATAATTATGACGCTAATAATAATAAAAGGAGCGGAGCACATTGAGTTTTGTTGTTGTAGTTCATGAACGTGTTAAGACAATGCAGAGCTACCTGTAGTGCAAACTTCTTGCCTGTGTGTGAACAAAAGAAATCCTGCATTTGCTAATACAGAAAGTTGCCCGTCACTGTGGGATTCAGAGGCCTACTCAAATAATTGTCTTAGTGTACTACCTGCTGTGTTCTATATTGAGTGAAAATGGAAGCCAGACTCTGCACCATCCTATTTCACAATTCTTCTTTTATTTAAATAATTCCAGTCAGTTTAGGGGACGCCAGACCTTTATAAATTAACAGCAGGGAAATACCAAAGGTGTCAGATTGCATATTTATCATCTTTCTCGTGTAATACTTAAATATGTATTAAGAAGTGACTGACATAAATTAGGCAGATTTCAGAAGCCACAGGCCGTGGCTTGTAGAGGACCCCCTTCTGCTTGACATTTCATCCTTGTCAGAGATCAAATTATTTTAATTTAGGCTGCAAATTATAAGGAATGAAGACTTCTTTGTGGGAATTCCCTGTGGTAATCTGACTTTTGTTGTTACTGCTGCTTGTCAGTGTGCAAAAGATATAATATGCATGCAAATAAGGTTAAAAAATATGTACTATCTAATTATCCAGCCAGTACATTCCACTTGAAGACAGTGGGAGGCCTGACACACAGTATGTGTTTGATTCATTGAGGCCTGCAGGGTATTTACACAAGATTACTTTTAATTATGAAATTAATATCTGTTTATCTAGAATGTATAGGAGTAAGTGAGAGTATACATGAGCAGAATTTTTAGCAAAATAAATGATCTCAAAATTTAATACGTATAAAATATTGGTAGAAGAAAACTCCGTGAATTTACTTCCCAAATAATGGTGAAGATCTTTATTGTCACAAAAACGTAATTTAAAAGTTATACTTTAACTTATAGTTGTTGCCATAACTGCCAGCTCATTTCCAGATATGTCTTTTCACATTAAAGGTTTCCTTCTGTGCATGTAATCCACAGGTGTGAAATTTAATTCTTGAAGACCAAATATGAAATGGAAACCTTAATGTCAAAATGGCTTGCTCTTCAGATTTACAGTGTTGTTAGAAAGATTAGGAAGATGTAGAGTATGTGTTATAATACAGTTTTGTTTTGTGATCTGAGAAACTTTCAGGGTAAATGAATAATTTTGCACAGTTATTTTTGAGTTCTACTTTCTGTTTCTTCAAAGCTTTGATAATGGTTTAGATAAATGGAGAGGAAAAAGTGCCAGTGACCCACAGAGCAGCAAGCTGCATAATGTCAGTGGACTGTTACTGAAGCATGGTTAATTATTTTTCCAGTTTTCTTCCTGATTATTATGTATTGGAATTACAAAATAAGAGCCTTAATCAATTTTGAGTGCATGGCTGAACCCCTACTGGCTTGCAGAACATTGCAGGAGTAGGATTGTTTCTAAGATATTCTCTTTTACACAATAATGTGTATGTAGCTCATAAGGATGTCTTTGTGCTCTAAGTAACTAACATGAGGAACAAAGCTAATCGACCTTTAGCTGAGATGCAAGTTATGTACTGATCCTGGGACCTTTGCCCGCTTCAGTGAATTAGTAAGTAGAACTGGATGCTTTACCTTCCATGCACAGGTTCAACTGTGGTTGGTCCCATGTTCCTGAATTCCTCTTTTGTCTAAATGTTCAGGAAATACTGAAAAACCTCAGTGAGCATTCCAAAGATGGACATGTTTTCCTTTGACATTGATATATATTTCAGAGAACTAGTGTAACTACTCTGGTGGAGGTCCTGGTTTGAGAGATGCAGTACCTGGATCAACATTTTGTTACTCTTACCTCTTACTATGGGTTAGTAGGCAGGCATAGCTCTACACTAATGTACTGATTGTGCCTTTGGATTGAAACTAATATCTGTGTGGTGCTCTTAGGGCCTGCTTGGACCTTGTATGCAGGGGATAGTTATTGCTGTAGTAAATTTTGCAGTGTAAATTTTTGTCTGCTAATAGCTGGAATGTAGCTACAAATGTATTTCAATTATGTCAGTGTATCAGGTAACAAGATGGCTGTAGCAAGTAGTCTCATATTTAATCAAGCAATCAGGGGTTGAATAGGAGCCATGATTTTCTGCTCAATGAGGATCTGTCCTTACCTAATACACCTAATGCGTCTTTTACAAATATAAATAAATATATTTTAGGTATAAACATTGAATAAACCATTAACACTGATAAATTGCTGAAGAAGAATGTCTGATTGATAGAACATTCTGATTTTTCTTTCTCTTTTACTGCTCTTTTTCTCTCTCTTCTTCTTCTTTTTTTTTCTCCTTCCCTTCCTCCCCCCCTTTCTCTTTTCCATGCTAATCAGTGTGATGGGATTCAGCTAGACTTGATCAATATTTCTCTGGAAGGAATTGCCATTCTGAACATCCCAAGCATGCATGGTGGATCAAATCTGTGGGGGGAGACAAAGAAAAGACGCAGCCATCGTCGGACAGAAAAGAAGAGATCAGATAAAAGAACCACAGTCACAGATGCGAAGGAACTGAAGTTTGTATGCCAAGGTATGCTTAAAGAGTAATAGTGGCCATCTAGCTCTATACAGTCAACTCAGTTGTATAATTGCCCTTGCATTGCTTCTTGTCAAGAGAAAGGATAGACAGCTCTTAATTTATTTTCTTGTGCATTTAGTTTTTCTGATGTGAAGCACTGGAGCACAGGCGTAAACAGAGACATGCTGACATTACAATCTATAAACTTGCAAATGTACTTTTTTAGATGGGATGCTACCTGTTTAGCAGACTAAGCATACCATGTGGCACTGTTTTCTACTAGTCTAAAAGTGCCTGGATTTTGGGGGAGTCAGAAAATGCTTACTGAGCATTTTAAATGCTTATAAATATCAGCATGCATAAATCTTGGGAATAATCATGCCTTGTTTCTAACGAACTGTCCTGAGGCTGTTGAAAATTACTTCATGGTAACAAGAGCAAGCTACTTCTGTGTAACCATACTGTGATGCTGCGTGCAATTCTTCATTGCATATGCCATTGGTTGTTTGCATGGGTGTCATACTTCCTTTCAGGACTCATTACTTTTCTGGTGATTATGAGAATTTGCTCTTTATATTTTAATATATATATATATATGTGTGTGTGTATTATTATTATTATTATACATATTTTGAGAAACCCTTACAGTAAATAGTAATCTGTTCTACTTCACAGAATCTGAACACCAGGTGTTTTAACACATCATTATATGTCACAAATCATGATGCTTTAAAAACAATGTTCTGCTCACACTGAGGGATGAACAGACCAGACTTCAAAAACCTTTTTTTTTTTCCTCCTTCTTTACTTCTTATTCTATGGAAGTAATATCACCTACTTCTGTGGTTCTGGCAACCTTAGACTTAATAAAGGTCAGGACTTTAACTGCCTGATTTTTACCATGGTTCTTTTACTGGTTTTGGATATCCTATTTTCTATATTTCCTCAGAAGCAATTCTTAAATCACTAGTTATATCTTAATTAATATGCAGCGTGATTTGAATCTAGCAAGCTTACCTGGATGACAAATGTTTGGGAATAAAGTAATTTTGGCTTCGAGCTTGCAACATGTGTGAGGACCCAAGATCTGCTGTGTGTTTTAGAAGTTTTAGGAACTAAGTGATAGATGAAGAAGTGATAGATATACAGTAAATGTGATGGATGGAACATCCTTCATTCCAGTTTGTGCCCACTGTCCCTTGTCTTGTCAATGGCACCAGTGAAAAAAACTTGGCTGCATCCTTCTGATAACTTCCCCTTAGATATTTGTAAGCATTGATAAGATCACCTCTTAGTCTTCTCTCCTCCAGGCTGAACAATCCCAGGGCTCTCAGCATTTCTTCATACAGGAGGTGCTCTGGGCCCCTAATAATCTTTTTAGCCATTCGCTGGACTCTCTTTAGAAAAGTCTTTGTTAAACTGAGGAGCCCAGGATGGCACACAGTACTTCAGATGCAGCTTCACCAGAGCAGAGGTAGAGGGGGAGAAAAATTTCCTTTGACCTGCTGGCCACATTCTTTTTAATGCACCCCAGGATACCATGGACCTCCTTGGCCAAAGGGGTACACTGACGGCTCATGTTCAACCCACTGTCCACCAGAACATGCACAGAGCTCCTTTTTAGCAGGTCAGCCCCTAACCTGTACTAATGCATGCAGTTATTCCTGCCCATGTATAGGACCCTATACTTGCCCTGCCTGCAATATTCCCTAAGGTAAGGAACCATAAGGCTCTTCTCCGCCCAGCTCTCCAGCCTGTCCAAGTCTTGCTGAATGACAGCACAGCCTTCTGGTGTGTCAGCCACTCTGCACAGCTTCGTATCATCAGCAAACTTGCTGAGGGTGCACTCAGTCCCTTCATCCAGGTCACTGATGAAGATGCTAAATAAGACCAGACCCAGCATTGACCTCTGGGGAACACCACTAGATACAGGCCTCCAAATAGAAAGTATGCTACTGATCATAACCCTCTAAGCTCTTCCAGTCAACCAGTTCTCAGTGCACCTAACTGTACACTCATCTATCACTTACTTCCTAAAACTGCTAAAACACACAGCAGATTTTGGGTCCTCACACATGTTGCAAGCTCGAAGCCAAAATTACTTTATTCACAATAAAACTTATTTGGTTTATGGGTGACAGAGCACTGGAACAAGATGTCCAAAGAGGTTGTGGAGTCTCCTCTGGAGATACTCGAAACCTGCCTGGATGCTTCTCAGTGCAACCTCCTGAAGGGAGCCTGATTCAGCAGGGGGGTTGAACTAGATGATCTCCAGACATCCTTTCCAACACCTACATTCTGTGATTCTGTAATTTCACATATTCTCAGTATCTCAAAGTAACTTACCAATATGCTCTGTCACCTGAAGTCTTACCAGCTGCTGAGCTTCTGCTGCTTCTACATATGCTTGAGTCTCTGTATACTATTTCAGTGTTCAGGGGATAGAAGCAGGCTAATGGGTATTGGATTCATCAAAATACTTTCTTTTGTATTTCTTCTGAACATAGTGAGATGGGACAGTTCCCCATTTGATAGTAATGAAACAAATTATTATAATCTCTTTTACTGTTCTCTGTTACATAGGTAGCATGATTTCAAACTAATGACTATTTTTGGTGTCCATATTAGAAGGTGTTGCTACCCATTTCTGTTTTCCTGGACAGGAAATAATAATAATATCAAAGACTTTGGAAAATATCAAAGTTATTAGAAAGGATATATTAGCTATGGAAATGCTCATAATGCAACATTAAGTCCCATACTGTAGAAACTATGTGCTGTGGATGAAAATATTTCGAACCAAGGCTAGTTTCAAAGCAAAGGTTGACTCCTCTTAGTAGACTGGAGCACCTGTATCTCATCACTGAGTACATGGGTAGTATTATGTTACAAGGACTGCTCCAAAGATAATGCCTCCTGTTTATTTCCCAACAAAATACAACTGATGCAAAGAGTACAATAACACTATTTGATAGAGCAAATTCTCAGCTACAAAACGTTATTTTTTTCAACATAATTACCAACATTACTAGATTCACTCAGTTGAGCTGATCAAATCTCTTCATTTCATGCTGTGACAGCTGTGCATAGCCATTCAGAATGTGACTTGTCTTTCACATTGACATCACCACTGCATTGCCTACCACATCACTGTGCTGGCATCCACTGTTTTGTTTCCATAAAAGTTCAGAAAGCATCAATAAATATCAAGAGATGCATTTTTTTCCACATGGAGTAATTCAGTTCCGCACCTTTGTTTCATACACAGTTCCATTTCAGACCCCATTTTGTCAGACTCCCCCTCTGCTGCCATCTATCCCACAGAAACAAATGTTGATGGAGTATTGGAAAGTCTAGCCTCTACTGTCATACCACTGACATCGTCCTTTGATGTCATCAACCAACATATTAAAATAGGAGACATTACTTTCAGAGTGCTCACATTTTTATATTGAATTGCTAACTGGTTTTTATGTTTTCAAATTAAAACATATATGAAAATGTATTTATGTAATTAACATAAATTGTTGGAAAGAAAACCTTTTTGAGCAATAATGTGCTATTATTGAATTCTCTGTTACTGGAAACAAATAGTGCATTTTTTATTTTGCACAATTACAGTCTTTTTTTTCTAATATAACTTTAATTTCTGTTTTAATTTTGATCTCTGAATCATTCGTATTGTACAAAGTTGATGTATCAGGAAAAATAAATAGTATAACTACAGCTGTAGGGGAATTGCTGAATCATGGCCTGAACCTCTGACTGATCACCTGAGGCGAACAATGAGTCAGCTATGGAGTGCAGGTGAAGGTAATTCACCTGTGCTGCCAGAAGGGGTGGAGCCTGGCTCCACCTCTCCTGGACCCATCTAAGAGCTGACTGCCAGTGAGGAAGGATTTCTTCTGGAGATCCACTCTGCTGGAGTTGTATAAGTGAGCCCAGGATACGAGTAAGCATCGTGTCTTTTCTGCTTTGGTGTAATAACTGTGTAGCCAAGCTCTCTGGTACATCTCATAACTATAACCTCTGTGCATTCATTGATTGTACAACAGATACATGTCAGTTCATGAAGGTAGATAATTCAGTTAGAACTTTGACTTCAAGAGTCTGATATTTGTAGTATTTCTGTTTTTTTCTTTATTTTCTTAGTCATGCATATCTATGATCTGTCTGCAGTCTTTTTTTTTTTTTTCTAAGTACAGAATTTATATACAACTGTGAACCATCGTTGAATATTATTTGGACAGGAATTTGATTTGGATATATACAGATATTGATAAATGCCAAAAATTATTGTTCAAAAAAGATGAACATACTGCATTTAAACTAAATTATGAGTTGAGAAACATAAATGTAAATAACTATACTATTTACTGGTAGGAAGTGACATCCAAAACATAAATTGAATCATGATAGCATCTTCCATGAAAGATATGCCACTTATGTTAGGTGTTAAGCAGCAAAATTTTCTTCTTCACAGAGACACTAAGTAAATATGTCAAGCCTTTTATGATATGAAGAAATAAATAGAGAAATTTTCAAAATAATAAACTTTTTGCTGAGTAGAGGTAAGAGTCCTTTAGGAGGGTGTTGTTGTAATTTGTTTTGCTTTCATTGTTGAAGTTCAGTTAGAGCTCTGTCCTGAAATAGATTCTCTTATGAGGTTTTTGATCTTTAAAGACATCATTGCAAGCGTTTACATAACCTTTTTTCGCATGACTAATTTCAGTCACCTCAGTGGACTCATTCTTGAAGGCAGTGTCTATGAGCTATGAATGGGTGAAAACTTAAACCTGTAAATATTTCAGTTCAGTATTTCCTTTTTCTGTATTTTGTACATCATCAGGCACACTGATATTTAACAAGTCCGTAACAAGTTGTTCTGTGCAGCTTGTTAGAAGAGCTGCAGTGAGGTATTGCTCAGCAACGTGCCAGACTATTTTGAGATAATATGCATTCATATCACAGTGTCTAGGCATAAACCAAGCTTACTGATCTGATTCAATAAC